CAGATCCTGAAGATTAAAGTACAAGACCTGGGGCACCTGGGTGGCTCAGTGAGTTAGGCATCTGACTTTTGGTTTTGGCTCAGGTAATGATCTCATGATCTCATGGGTCATGGGGTCGAGCCCCACATCATCGGGCTCTGCTCAGCGGGGAGTCTGCTTGGAGATCCTCTCTGCCTGCCCCTCCCCCCACTCATGCATGTGCTCTCACTTGCATTCTCTCTCTCTGTCCCAAATAAAAATAAATTTTTTTAAATAAAATAAAGTGTAAGACCTATGAAGAAGAGTGGCTCTCCTAATCTAATCAGATGAAAATGTAATGCAAGAGACTAAATCAAGTGATGAACTAAGTTCATACATGGCCTGGCATTCGCTTTATACTCCAACTCCTAGAAATGATGGGGGCATTTTTAACAATTAAGTATATAATGCTGTAAAACAAGGGAGCATTTGACAACCCACAAATTACAGGAAAGGCTTCAAATAGCAGGTAGTGGGATATTTTTGAAGGAAAATATCACAGCCCACAAAGCTTGCAAGAGAGGACTACTGCAAAGGTAAAAGTAACGCTGGGGTGGATTCATGGAACAGGAGGGTACAAGGCAGCCAACAAGACAGCTTGTTGGGACTACTGCAATTCACATAATCCAACTATGGGCTGGGTCCTCATACACTCCTCCTTATCCACTGCCTTCAAACAAGAGACAACAGAAATGTCCTGTTTCCAGCAGGAAGGAGGGAGGAAGATTTGGAGAAGTAAGCACCAAATGGCTATTAATTCCCAACAATTCTGGGGGTGCTCCAATGTGCAGAGTGTGATTTATTGGCAACTCCAACCAGCACTACATCCGGACCTCCAGAGGAAGCTATAGTAAAAGACATTCCTGGGGAGGCTAATGGGGAATCCCAAATTCCAGAAAGAGCAAACAAAAAAATCACCAGATACTCATGGAAAACCAACACCATGAAGAAAAATGAACTAAATGCAACAAAACAGAAGATGCAAATACACTAATTAAATGGATTATGTTGGACAAACAAGTGTTTTTTTTAAAGGTATAATTAATTGCCCTAAGAATAATAAGAGAAACTTCCAAATCCTTGAAATACGAATAAATTGGTTACATTTCTAAAAAGGGGACTTATAGGAAAAAATGAATAAAAGGCTAAAGAGATAGAGCTGAATAACAAATAATGACTTCAAAGACTGAGCCAAATAGTTCTCCTAGGAGAAAGTACAGAAGGACAGAGAAGTAGAAAGTAAGAAGGTGGGGTTTTTTGGTTTTGTTTTTCCTTTTTAATATAAGAGATCAGAGTGGGTTATGGGGGAAGATGATGGGGTAAGAAGGGCCAGGAATCCACCTCTTTACTTAGACCAAAACTTTACTAAGAGACTCTGCCTGATGTTAACTGTTTTGGAACTCTCGAGTCTGCTTGAAGACTTGCAGCTTTGGGGGGATGGTTTGGCCAGTAAATTTCAGCTGTTATCATGATAGAGACTACCCATCACCAATCCCCTAGACACATGATGGGCAGCTGTACCTGCATTCCTAGACAGGCTTGTAGTAGGAGGGGTGGGCAGTGCTTGATGAGTTTTGGTCTAGTATCAAAAGATAATATGCACAGTTATATGAAGAGGCTATTAAAATACTCCTGCCTTTGAAAACTATATATCTTTGTGGGGCTAGGCTTTATTCATATACTTTGCTCAAAACATAGTGCAACAGATTGAATGCAGAAATGTGTACAAGAATCCAAGCGTCTTCTTTCAGGCCATATAGTAAGATTTACAAACATTTAAATGAGTGCCACTCTTCTCACTATTTTATTTTTGTCTTGTAAAATACTGTTATGTTTAACAAAAAATGTTATTCATGTTAACATCTAATGAGTTTATCATTGTTACTTTTAGTGAATAAGTATTTTCAAGTGTCTCTGCTTTAATTTCAAACATCATAAATGTTGAAAGTTACAACCTCATAAACAAAAGTTCTTTGGTATTCTCAGTAATCTTTAAGTTAAAATTCAACACGCTGAGAATCTCCTGACCTCTACACAATTTCTATCCCAGACCCCCTGAAGAAGGGGAAGGGCTCAGGGAGACCTATCTTGTGATGTATCGTCAATAAAGTATACTGTACCCAGCTCAAAAAAAAAAAATACATGTATATATAAGCAGACCAGCAGTGGTCACCAGATATTTAAGGAAATCATATTAAGCATATAATATGAAAAAATAGCAATACAAATAAATTATTCAAAGAAAAGACTATCTCAAGTAAATTAATATTAGTGCCTGCATAAAAATAAAAGGTAACATTATATCCATTAAATAAGAACAGGATGCTATTTTTTTAAAAAAAGGAACATCTAGGCTATTAAAAAAAACTTCTTGTAAATGAATCACGAGAGATGAAAACCATAATAAAAGGATTGGGAGGTGCCCGGGTGGCTCAGTGGGCCTTCGGCTCAGATCATGATCCCAGGGTCCTAGAATCGAGCCCCGCATCAGGCTCCCTGCTCAGCAGGGAGTCTGCTTCTTCCTCCCACTCTGCCCCTCTCCCCCTGTTCATGCTCTCTCTCTCAATAAGTAAAATCTTTTTAAAAAAAAGGATTGAAAGATAAATTTGAACAGTTCTTTCAAAATCTAGAGTAAAAAGACCAAGAAATGAAAAATAAGACAGAAAAGTGTCCAGGAAGTTCAATATTCAAAAACATTGGAGTTCTCATAAAGAGAGAACAGATAAAAGAATAGATAGAAAATTATCAAAGAAACAATCCAAGAGAACTTTTCTGGTTTAAGCTCCACTGAGTGCCCAGCACAATGAATAAAAATAAATCCATACCAACACACATCAGTGTGAAATTTCAAAGAGAATTTCCAAAAGCCTCAAGGGAGTAAAAACAAGACTTATATAAAGAATAAAGATTCATAATAGCATGGGCCTTCTCAGGAACAACACTGGAAGCTAGAAGACAGTGGAACTACACCTTCACGATTTCGTTGGAAAATTATAAGATTTCTGTACTCAGCCAAAGTATCAATCAAGTGTGAACGTAAAATAAAGATATTTCGAGACATGCAAAGTCTCAAATACTTTATCTCTCATCTACCTTTTCCCACATAAGAAGAATGAACCAAGAAAGAAAAAGATACAGTGTTCAGGAAAGAAGTGAAGAAAATCCCCAGGACAGAGATCCCAAGATGATAACTGTACAGAGGGAATAAAAAGTGACCTGCCTGGATTGGAACAGGTCAGAGGGTTCTAGGAGAAACTTCTTTTAAGATGATGAGAGTGGTAGAATGTCAGATATATTTGAATGTAGTGCAAAGAGATTATGCACTTGGGTTGGAGTTTGGGAAAAAGGAAACTGGTCATCTTTTGGAGTGCAATTTAATATGCAAATGCTGACACAGGGTCCCAGATAGGCATGTGCGAGGATACCACTGTAGCAGTGTCTGTAATGGTGAGAAATCAGAAATAACCTAAATGTCTATAAATAAGGACATTGTCAAATTACAGAACACACATATTTGTTTAATAATAGGCAGCAAGTAAAAAAAAATGGGGGACAGCTTTTTGTTTTCTGTTGTGGTTCCATTTGTTTTTCAGAAAACACAAGACTAAATTTCTAGATTTATGATTATATATGAATATAACTAGAAAAAGATCTAATAGCCTGTATCTCAAACTTTCATTGTATCGATCTCTAGTTTTTTATTCATTTAACATCTATTTCTTGAGCATGTAATATGTGTAAGGAGTTGGTTCCTTCATGCTGGGACTGGAGCAGAGAGCAAAACAGAAAAAAGGACATGTCCTGATAAAGCTGATATCCTAGGAGGAAGAAACAGATGATGAAAAATAAATACATTATAGGTCAGGTGATGAAAAGTACTCTGAAGAAAAGTAAAACGGTAAGATAGATAGATGGGATGGGAGGGCACTTTCTATGTTTAAGCTCTGCTGTCCAGTGGTGCTTCCTGCAGTTATGGACAAGTTCTGGAAATTTGCAGTGTCTAATACTATAAGCCACTAGCCTCATGTACCCGCTGAGCATTTGTTATAAGGCTGGTGCAACTGATAAATGGAATTTTAAATTTTATTTCATTTGAATTTAAATTACCACATGTGGCTCACTGCTACCATATTGGTCAGTGCATTTGAATGGGTAGTCAGGGATGCCATCACGTGAATAAGGCAACACTTGAACTGAGACCTATACGAAATGAAGGAGCTAGCCATGGGTTCCAGGCAGAATGAAAACCAGAACCTCATCTGGAGTAGTTGGAGAAGTCCTGTAAGGCTGCAGGATGAGTAAGGGAAAGAGTAGAAGAAAATGAAGCCAGAGAAACAGAAGGGGCCACCATCATGGAAGGCCACAGCGGCCAGTATAAGACTTTGCTTGTTCTCTGAGGTGGGAAGCCATTGCAAAGCTTTGAGCAGACAAGTGAAGTGATCTGAATTTTTAAAGGGTTGCTGGAACTATTCTGATGATAAACATTGGGGATGAGGGCAGAAGTAGGGAGAAAGTTAAAAGGCTCCTACAGTAACTCAGACCACAGGTGATGGTGAATTAGTGGGTAGTGATGGAGTGTAGAGGTCATCAAATGAATTAACAGTATTTACTGCTGGTTGGTAAGGCGCACGAGAAAGGGGGGACCTTGAAGGGCTTTCACCTGAGCAAATGAGATCAGCAGCACTGGGGAAGAGAACATTTGGAGAAGGAATTCAAGAGTTCTGTTTGGGGCATGGTAAATTGGAGGTGCCTGTAGATAGTTATGCCAAAGTCCTGACAGTAAGTGATGTCAAAATGGGAAATTCAACTAAAGGATTTCTTCCTGGAGAGTTGAGTAAGAGAAAGGTTCATTGATGGTGTTAGCCTTCTTTATGTGAGAGACAAAGCAAGTAACTTGTCATCAGTCTTCAGCATGAAGATTTTCTGTCTTTAATTACACGTGGCTCTAAGATTTGGATAATTATTTCTTATTTATTCCATAGAATGGTTCCTGAAAAAATAAGGTTCCTGTCACGAGTTTGTATACCACTTGTAACTCTGCCAGATATTGAACCCCTGGTGGAGGCTCTGCTCACCTACCATGGACATGAACCTCAGGAAGTGCTCTGGCCTGAGTTCTTTGATGCTGTGAATGAGGCCTTTCTGCTGTAAGTGATGTCCATTTACTCTCAATTAGCTTTGTTTTTCCTTTCTTAGAATGCTTCAGTATATTGGAAATGCAGTTTTCAAACTTTTGGTTTCAGCACCACATTATTGAGGATCCCATAAGCTTTTTTTTTTTTTTAATGTGGGTTTTATTTATCAATATTTTACCATGCTTGAAATTAAAACAAGTTTTAAGAATATTTATTACTTCATTTAAAAATAATAAATTGATTACATGTTCACACAAATAGCATATTTTTATGAAAAAGTGATCTTTTCCAAGAAGAAAATTGTTTACAGGAATGGCATTGTTTTACATTTTTGCACATCTCTTTATTATCTGACATAAGACAGCTGGTTCTCATATGTGTTTCTGTTCAGTCTGACGTGATATGTTGTTTTGGTTTAAGTATATGAAGAAAATTCAGCCTCACACAGATACATAGTTGGAAAAGACAAGAATATTGCAGTAGCCATTTCAGATAATTGTGGATTTTCTCCTTGGATAGATACCTCACCAAAGTTTGAAAATGGTAGTGTTTTAAGGTTAGTTGCTATGCAGAATCTGAAATTATAACAGTGAGCTTTTCATACTGTTAAATTAAAACCCATTGAATGTCTGAGGAATACTTTTTTGTTTGGTTGGGGGTTTTTTGGTGGTATACTTTTAATAGCTCTTCTGCCCAAGCAGGATTTTGTAGCCTGGTTTTTGAATGCATGCTTCATTTGGGAAATACTGGTTTATTAAGTTATGCAGATCTTCTAAACCTGACATACTTCATTTTATAGCATCAACACTTTCATTCTTGTCAGCACCAATCTCATCAGAAATATCTTTAGGTATTAGGAAGCTTTTCAAGCTCACATTGGCAGGAACAAATTCTCCAAGATTAAAATTTCTACTTAAAAACTCAAATTTATCATTGGCTACAAAATACTGTCATTTGTTTTCCTTGAGGTACAAAGGTCATTTCACTAATTTTTGAGAAAGTATGTGCCAAATACTCAATTCTGAGTAACCACTGTTTGTCTGCCATTCTTTCAAGTAAATTTCCATTACAAAAAGGTGGCTAGTTGATCTTGCAGCTCATACAGTTGCAAGTGCTTTTCCTCCAGACAACCATCCTGATTTGTTATGCAGCAGAAGTGCAGTATGCATGCTTTCCTTTTCACCACACAGAATGTTTTTTTATAAAAAGTATTCTCAAGTGTAAAATTTAGTAAAGTTAATATTTTATACTGCTTCCTCAAACACATTTTTGTGTGAAACTGGCACTGTTATTACCGTATGTAGTAGTGAAGAATACAGTGACTACTTCCTCTGCTTGACTCATGCTGGGCACAGTAGTTTTACTTGCTAGTGCTTTTGCACTGTGAGTGCAAATATCAACACAGTTGTTCCAGGAAAAACCATGAGATTCAAAATAGTTATTTAACACTTTAAGTATTTCTCTACCCTGTGTGTGTACTGCCCTGCTCATTTAACAGAACTCCTGTTCTCCGTGTTGATACGAGATGAATACAACCAACACAGCTAGTTCAGCCATATCGAGAGGTCTACTTTTAAGGCAGAAGTATAATTCTTTTGATGAAATATTAACATTACATCTGTGTTCGAATTATTTAATTCCTTTTTGTTTCCACTCTGAATGATTGATCTCACAATTGATGCCACAGTAAGCTAGCACCAAAATAGTATTTGAAAACATTCTATTCAATAAGGCATAATAAGGTAAATTAGTAACATCTATGAAACCAAGGGAAAGATAGCTTTCTTCATATTTGCTTTCACTTACAGTTTAGCCCCGTTCCTTTGGTGTACACGTCTCCCTGTCATGAGTCGGGGAAATCTTTGGTGTATTGGTTTCATCTTTTCCCAATGAAACAGCTGTGGATGAGAAAGCAAATCTTTTCATTCTCCTTCGTAAAGTAAATGTTCCATTCTTAGATGTTAGAAAATATATTATAAATGAATTTTATTTTTTAATAAAATATCAAATTATAAGAAGATCTAAAATATGTTATATATTTGTGAAGTATATATAAATATACTTAGATCTAAAGTAATTCAGATAAAATTTAGACTTTTCAAAAAATTTTTAAATATTATTGCACAATTAGACAACAAAGTGTACTTGCTTCTTGTTATGTTTCCCTGTAGGCTCAAGAGGAAATACTAGTTTACTTATTTACTTACTTACATTTACCACTCCCCGCTTTATTGAAATATAATTGACATACAACATTGTGTAAGTTTAAGATGTACAAGTTAATTTGATACACTTTTATATTGCAAAATGATTACCACCATAGCTTAGCTAACACCTTCATCATGTCACATAATCACCATTTCTTTTTTGTGGTGAGAACATTTAAGATCTACTCTTAGGATCTTTCAAATATATCATACTGTATCAACTATAATCACCATGCTGTACATTAGATCCCCAGGATTTATTCATCTTACAACTGGAAATTTGTACTCTTTAACATCTTCAGCATCTCCCCATTTCACCACACCCTAGTTCCTGGTAACCATCTTTCTAGTCTCTGTTTCTGAGTTCAGCTCTTTTAGATTCCACATAAAGTGATACCATATGGTATTTGTGTTTTTCTCTTTGACTTATTTCACTTAACATAATGCCCTTAGGTCCATCCATGTCACAAACTGCAGGATATTCTTGCAGTTTGTGTCTGAATAATATTCCAGTATATAAATATACCACATCTTCTTTATCCATTCATCTACTGATAGACACTTAGGTTGTTTCCATATCTTGGCTATTGTGAATGCTGCAGTGCACATGGACGTACAGTACATCCTGTTTTCATTTCCTTGGATATATACCCAGAAATGGGATTGCTGGATCATAGAATAGTTTTAATTTTCCATGATGGCTGCACAAATATACATTCCCACCAACAGTGCACAAGGGTTCCCTTTTCCCCACATCCTCACCAACAGTTGTTATTTGTTGTCCTTCTGATTCTAGCCATTTGGACAGGTGTAAGGTGATATCTCATTGTGGTTTTAATTTGCATTTGCCTGATAATTAGTGATGTTGAGCATCTTTTCACTTGTCTGTTGGCCATCTGTCTTTTTTGGAAAAATGTCCATTCAGGTTCTCTGCCCATTTTTTAATTGGACTATTTTTGAGTTATGTGTGTGTGTGTGTGTGTGTGTGTGTTGAGTTGTAGAAGTTCTTTATATATTTTGGATGTTAGCCCCTTATCAGGTATATCATTTGCAAATATCTTCTCCCATTCAGCAGGTTGTGTTTTCATTTTGCTGTGCAAAAGCTTTTTACTTTTGTATAGTCCCAGTAGCTTATTTTTGCTTTTGTTTCCCTTGCCCGAGGAGATATATCCATGAAAATGTGGCTAAGGCTGATGTCCAAGAGATTACTGCTATGCTTTCTTTTAGGAGTTTTGTTGTTTTAGGTCTCACAGTTAGGTCTTTAATCCATTTGAGTTTATTTTTACGCATGGTGTAAGAAAGCTGTCCAGTTTTCTCAGCACCATTTGTTGAAGAGACTCTTTTTTACTTATTGTATATTCTTGTCTCTTTTGTAGATTAATTGACCATATAAGCATGGGTTTATTTCTGGGCTCTCTATTCTGTTCCACTGATCTGTGTCTGTTTTTGTGCTAGTACCATAGTGTTTTGATTACTATAGCTTTGTAGTATATCTTGAAATCTGTGACTGTGGTATCTCTAGCTTTGTTGTTCTTTCTCATGATTGCTTTGGCTATTCAGAGTCTTTTGTGGTTCCATACAAATTTTAGTATTATTTTTCTAGTTCTTTCCCAAGTTCAGTTATTGAAGAGACTGTCCTCTCCTCATTTTATATTTTTGGCTCCTTTGTCATAGAATGACCATATATGCATAGCTTTATTTTGAGGCTATCTGTTCTATTTACTGATCTGTATGCCTTTTTTTATGCTAATACCATACTGTTTTAATTATTACAGCTTTGTAAAATAGTATGAAATCAGGGAGCATGATGACTCCAGCTTTGTTCTTTCTCAAGATTACTTTGACTCTTTGGGGACTTCTGTGGTTCCCTATAAATTTTAGGATTGTTTGTTCTATTTCTGTGAAAACTGCCATTGAAATTTTGATAGCAGTTGCATTGAATATATGGATTGCTTTGGGTATATGGACATTTTAACAATATTAATTCTTGTTAGGTTTTTGAAGATATTCTTTATCAGTTTGAGAAAATTATCCTCCATTCCAGTTTACTGAGTTTTTGTATTGAATTGGTTTCGATTTTATCAAATACTTTTTCTGCATCTATTGATACGATCGCATGACTTTTCTTTTTCAGCCTGTTGATGTGACTGATAACATTAACTCATTTTCTTTTTTTATTTTTATTTTTTAAGATTTTATTATTTGACAGAGAGAGACAAAGCGAGAGAAAGAACACAAGCAGTGGGAGAGGGAGAAGCACGCTTCCTGCGGAGCAGGGAGCCCAATGCAGGGCTCGATCCCAGGACCCTGGGATCATGACCTGAGCCGAAGGCAGACGCCTAAAACTGAGCCACCCAGCCACCCCAACATTAACTCATTTTCAGAAGTTAAACCAGCCGTGCATACCTATGACAAATTCCACTTGGTCATGATGTATAATTCTTTTTATACACTATTAGATTCAATTTGCTAATATTTAGTTGAGGATTTTTACTTCTATGTTAATCAGAGATATTGGTTTCTAAGGTTTGTTTTGTGTTTCTTTTTTCTCTAAGTTTTTTTATAATGTTATTGTCTGCTTTTGGTATTAGTATATTTCTGGCCCCAGAAAAAGAGTTAGGAAGTATTTCCTCTGCTGTTCTCCCCTGAAAGAGATTGTAGAGAATTGCTACAATTTCTTCCTTGAATGTTTAGTAGAATTCAGCAGGGCCTGGTGCTTTCTTTTTTGAAAGGTTATTAAATGTTCATTTAATTTCTTTAATAGGTATAGGCCTATTCAGCATATTTCTTCTTATGTGAGTTCTG